TGTCACCATCCTCTGGTCCACTCTCCTCAGGAATGAGGATGGAATGTGAAAGTTGTGCTCCACAAAACACAAACCAAAGGGGCTCCTTCCCTCACTCAGGTCACCCTAAACCATCCCAAAAAATGGGATCCCAACGAGGAAATGGGAAATGGCAGGGCCAYTTTCCAGGATAAACCCAGCATTTAACCCTTGGTCCCTGCAGAGTTTGAACCCAGCAAGAGGTTTTGCATTTGCAGATCAGAGCTGCAGAGCAGCAAAACACGTTTTTGCTGGGAAAGGGTGAACTTTGAGGTTGGGAAAKCAGAAAATCAGTGAGAGGGGTGAAGATCTGTGCAGGACAGGGCTGGGGCAGCCCCTCTGCTCAGAGCAGCTCTCCTTGGCACCTCCCTGCYGAGTTCATTTGCCAGCAAATGGTGTTTGAGAAGGAGCCTGGATTTTATTAAAGGCCTTGGCTCAGGGCAGCAAACAGGGCTGGTTCAAAGCCTGCTTTAATATCCACTATCAGCGTTTGTGAGTGTCTGAAAGAAAAGCTCTTGAAAAGGGCTGGGTTACTCCAGACCACTCTAAAACCATGAGTAAGGTTTCTTCAATTAGGAATGTAGCACTAATTAGAGTTTTTGGGTCAGCCTGGGTGGGTTGGCTAATTAGCCAAAGTAATATACCCATGTGATTGGCCTGGAGTGTGGGTGAGGTTCCTGGAAGCACCAGGTGATAGCTGGGGAAAAAAAATAATACAAAAAAAAAGGATGTGTGGGTGGTAAAATCAGGACAGCTGCAGTCAGGGATGGGAGAGGGGGAAATGCACCTTCAACAGAAAATGCACAAAGGCTCCCTGCTCCCTGCAGAGCTGGGGGAGGATTAGCAGGATCCTGCAGTGTTTCCTRAAGGTTTCATTTGGGATCAGCTCGTTTCGGTTTGGGATCAGAGATGTGCTGATCAGAGCCATAAAACCCCAGCTTGGGGYCAGAACAAAGGGCAGATTTGCTGCAGCCATGGGCACACAGAGCCCTGCAGATTGCAGCTTTGAAAGAAATGTGAATTTAAACTGCCATGTGAATTTAAACTCCAGTTTCTCCATAAAACACAGGTTTTACCCACGTGGCCTTTGGTTTGAGCGAATAAAGAGCAGCACTCACACCCTGCCTTGGCCACCCTGTGCCACCGTGGGAAGGGCAGGAGCCTGCCACGTGCTAATCACACTAATTACAATTATTAAATACCCTGTGTGCTTTCTAATAAAGTCAGGTGGTGTCTTTGGGCCTCCAGCAGGAAAATCCCGGAGTTCTTCGAGCCCCACAAAGCTCAGGGAACTTTGGCACCTCGCTGGTGATTTCCCTTCTGGAGCACCGTGAGCGTCCCCAGGGCTGAGCAGAGCCCAGGCACAGGGGGGAGACTGCCAGGAGAACCCAAACTGGGACAGGAGAACCCAA